CAAGTGCTGAAAGTAGGAACACAGCTCAAGGACATTTGTTCCAAATCTGAAAAGCTCATATTTTGTCTTCCTATACAGCTGGAGAAGATACCTGTGGTGAAAAAGACAGAGATAAAACCAGACAAAGTCACAATCTACTTGGAAGAGGTAAGAGGAAGAACACAGGGAGTTGCCATTCAAATAGTAGCTACTACAGTACTTTGCACTGGGACTCTCAGAGATCAGAAATACAAATCTTCAGGTCAAGTAGGCTAAAATTTTGGCAGAAGAAGAAAAGGGTGGAAGAAAGGTAGAAAAAAAATCTCTGGTGAAGTGGGACTAAAGTTGGTGTGTAGGTGACTGAGCTTGTCAGTTCATTTCCCTGCTCACTTATGTTCTTGTCTCCAGTTGGGTAAGACTTCTCTGAAGCTTCACTTCTCAGTGGAACAAGATGCTGAAGTACAGAACCTGAAAGCATCAATAGTGCATGTCTATGACTACTACAAACCAGGTGAGATTTCACTGGCATAGGTTAATAACTCTTATTACTTCCACTCAGACACAGTCCTGTCTGTCCCTTGTTCCTCTTACCTCCCTCATTCCAGTACACTTCCTCCTGCAGCTCTAAGCTCTGTACAAAACTATATCCAAGTAGCAGAATCACCTGCTTTTCTGTTCTTGATATGAGACTGCCTGGGACTACAATTATGTTGGGGTCTGTATGTGTTCAAAATGACTGTGGTTTTTATTTCCTTTAGCTTCAATCTAAATCTGTGAAGAGAAATCTTCTCTGTCAATTTACCATTCTTTCTGCTCCTTAGCTATCTTGAAAATACTGAAGAGACTTCTGCAGCTCACCACCCTTCTTTCTCTTTTGTTTCTACAGATGAGCACACATCAAGAGAATATGTTTTCCCTTGTGATTCAGGTTAGTGTTAACAGGCTTCCAAGGTGGGAACAGCAGAAACAGAGCAGAGGACTAGCAGTAAGCAAGAAAAGCAGCCCACCTCTGCTCTCTATTTAGTTCTACCATATGATCTGGAGCCTTCCCAGACCACAGATTTAATTGGAATCTACTATGGTTGTGGGCACAATTTCTAGTCCAGGTATAATCTCAATACAGACTAGGGCTTGGGATACCAGGGAAGGTTAAAAAGATCTGTCTTTATTCCCTTTCCAAACACTCGTGTGCCATTGTCACAGCAACCCAAAGGAAGGAAAACTGAAGGAAACTGGATGTTGCAACTCATCCCCTAAGATCCTTAGTCCTTAGGTATCTTCCTAATAATTCATTAGGCACTTTGCCTCTTCTTGCTCTTTCTTCATGCAGAAGTCTCAAAGAAGGACTCCTAATAGAATGTCCTGCCTCTGCAACCAATAATTGAAGCTTCCTTCTTCCATAAGGAAAACTTCATCGCTCTGGCTCTCCTCTTCCCTGCTGTGTTAGATGCACTGTATTTCCTTTTGTATATGTTTCTATGTGAAATCTGGCTTGATACACAGTAGTTTGGGATCAAGTGAAATAAAGTATGTTGTCACCATTTGACTCAGGTCTGACAACAATGCTCTCGATCCCCTCCCACCCAGGTAGGGAAGGAGAGAGAGAAAAAGAGAGAGACTTGGCTGGATTGAAAACTAAACTACACAGCTTTAATTAAAACACTAATGAATGATACAAGAAAATATATACAATTATATACAGATATATTCAGGTATGGGCAAAAGCCTCTCGCCTCCCCCCACCCCAGCAACTCCCACAGCACTTCCCTGAACTGGGAAGAGTCCTGAGGAATCCCGGAGCTGCTGCTGGAGAAAGTGGAGAGTGATGAGGGTCAGCAGATCTCGAGCCTAAGAGTCGACAGTGATGGATGAAGAGAGTCCTCTCTGGACGCCGGCCATGGACAGAAGAGAAGGGAAGAAGAAGGAGGAAGGAAGTTGTCTTCTGTAATCTCTGACCTTCCTCTGAGCTTACGTAGATATATGGAATGGAATATCTCTGGCCAATTTTGCTGTCTGTCTAACTCAGCCTCTTATGGGGGGGTCACAGATCTCCCCGTAGTGTCTGAGCCAGCAGAGTGAAGATGCGACCTTGAAGCCTCAGTAGTTAGAAAAACATTCCACTGTCTTATCAGCCTAGCAGAACACACTGTTGCTAGTTACAAGAAAGCTTACTGAAGGAAAAAAAAAATCAGTAAAAAGAAAAATTGGCTTCATCCTGGCTCAAACCAGGACATACAGTCATGTCCTAGGCAACTCTAGTATGTTTCTCCTGCTATATGTTTGGTCTAGAGGGTTGAGTGGTGGGGTTTTGAAGAAAAAATGTTTTATCATTTGACCTCCTGCAAGTAACCACTACCATCTATGCTACATGTGTGAGCATTTCACTCCTGCTACACCAATTCCAAAGGCAGTTTCAAACCTATCAGCACTTCATGCTGCTCACAGCTTTAAGTTGTTGACTTTGATGGAACAGCTGCAAAGTGCTTGAAGAGTTAAAATTTCCTGTCAGTTTAGAGACTGTGGTCTTCAGTACCCTTTTCTGCCCCTTTACAGCGTCAGTAGTTAGCTTAAACCCTGAGTCACTTCTGTCAACTACGTTTGCTAGAATGGAAATGGAATAAAATTCACACAGCCAGGAGTCTCACATAGGGGAGAGCAATCAATATTGTCATGAAGCATAAAGACCCAGCTTTGAAACTGCTTCCAGCATGTTTGGCCTTTCCTTACTCTTTGAGACCACGGAGGGTTTTGAGTTGTGGAGCCATAATCTGGGCATAGGACAATGTTAACCGTATAAAATGTGATATGTACGTATGAGCTCTGCTGCAAGCTCAGGGGCAATGCAGACATGCCCTTCTGTTTTCTTGTTTGCTTTGTAGTTTTCCACACACTCACCTTAAAATGATCAAATATTTTAATAAACCTCCATTGAGGAGATGTAGGTTATATGTGCATGGTCTGTAAGGTACCAGCATAAATCTAGAGAAATAATATTCTAAAAATTGGTGCTTATAACTAAGCTACCATTCTCTTACAGGAATGCAGACCAGATGAAAGCTTATTGGAAAATATCTAGCATTTCAGAGAAGTCTGAGAATGGAGGCAAGTTGAACTCTTGTTTTCTTTTTTCTTGTACAGTAAAAAGGCCTCAAAAAAGTGATTTTAGCCTCTATGTCCTCATGCCTGTTTACACTTGCTGTATCCTGTTTATTAGTTCACCTTCTTCTCAATGAAATTCCTCCTGAGAGATTCCATTAACAGTGAGATGTAAAAATCTTAACAAATTATAAAAAGAAAAATAGTGAAGCCCCTGAAAAGCAGCTAGTACCACTAAAATAGAGTTTAGACTGGACAAGGAAATTATTACATCAATGCTATTTGGAAATGAGCAGTTAATAAAAGAAAAATACATTTAATATCTGTGTTCTGTTTTTCCACACACTGATAATTGAGATACAGCGGAAAGAGGTAAGTGGAAGAACTGGGGGGGGGGAATCCAGAGATCCTGTGCTGAGATAGGATCAACTATAGATTTTTCTTGAGCAACATTTTGAGGGGTTTTGCTTTGACCATATACAGTTCCAGGGAAAAAAATAATCTATGCACATCTACTAAGAGTGGTAATTTATATAGCATTTTGTAAGGTACCAATAGTCGTCCTCTGCCCAACTTCCTTTATGTCCTGGTTTGAAGGAAAAAAAATCAGTAAAAGGAAAATTGGCTTCATCCTGGCTCAAACCAGGACACTACCTGAAGTTCTGATGATGTCACAGCCCTTGCAACCTTTGCAAATGCAATGTTTTTCTGAAGCAGAAAAACAGGAGCTGAAGAGAGGCATCTCATCTACAAAGCATCTGTGGAGAAATGGACTTGCAGTGTAACAGAAAGGCCTTTGGCCCTGTTAAGAATTTAGTGAAGGGAATTATGAAAGCACAGATTTGTTTGTAAATGTGACTGATTTAATATAGGAACCACAAGCCTGGGAAGGGAAAACATCTTCTATTGCTACAAAGGCTGCAAAGCTGTGATAGTCATTCAAGCAAAATCAGAGATAATTGGATCTGCTAGAGGTTATTGCTGTAGTCTGGTGTACTTTATCATTCACTGATCTCACAGTTCTTTGCCATCTGTCTTCCATTATGATTGTGTAGGGATAGCCTTCTCTTTTTTCCTTTACCAAACTGCAGAGCTTCTTTTAAAATGAAAAATCATACTAAAATGCGAATTCAGCCAGATAAAGAAGTACTGCACACTTGTAGAGCAGCATAAAATGGGCCTGCCAGTGATGCAGATTGTGTCTTGTGTATGTTCAGTAGATTTGCACATATCCCACTGCTTCTGGTATATTCCTTTCTCTTCCTACCATCGTTCTTCCCTTTTTGTCGCGGTCCAAACCCGGTTTTGGGTCGAAGCTGCCTTATCTCAGGGCACAATCGCCCTGTTTGTTTATCAGGATTTTCTGACACCAGATTATATATTAAAGATAGCCTTCTTAATTATTTCGGTGGGTCCATCCCTGGCTTGGGGCCGGCTTGCTTCCACCGGATATATAACCGATTGATAAGCTCCTCTCGGAGATTGTGTGTTTAAAATACCATTTTACTGTAAAAGTTTTCAGTGTGTGTGTGTGGAAAACTGGATATGTACATGTACCCGGTCGGTAAAGAGAAGGAAAAAAAAAGATGTTGTGCTCACGTCCTCCTGGAGCCGGGGGGGTGAGGCGAGGTGAGGCAGCGGTGGCAGATCCAGCGCAGGTGGCACCAGCGGCAGGAACAGTAGGGGTGGCGAGTCTGCAGCAGCTGCTTCCTTCGTCCTTCTGGTGCCTCTGGCTGGCAGCCGAGCTACCGTTTGCCTGGGCACATGGGGGACTGCTCCTTCTGGAGTCTGGGCATGGCACGGGCGGCAGGGCCACTCCA